AAATATATAGAAAATATACAAATAATTCAGGGTTCAACATAGAATCCTGATTATTTCATGATAACCGCATTTATTTCCTAAGTTTATGTATTTTCTAGCTCAATATTTGTCTACAATATCATAAACGTTTATTTATATACATTCATGGTATGTACATGAGTTATTTCCAGCTGTTAAAATGTTGATGCTTTTCCCCAACTCAAAAAGATCACATCCAAAAAATGATCGCATTCCTAAGATAAAATTCAGAAAGGAAAGTTAAAGTTGCTACAATCAGGGTTTTTATGTCAGACTTTCCTTACTACTTTATTACCACATCGTCGCATTATTATTAAAACGAACTAAATAAATAGCCGGACGAAAATGCATCGGGAATATGAACTATCAAACTTCCATAACTATAAAACTTCCAAACGTCCATAAATTTTTCGCTCCTAACTTTCTCACTTAATTTCAGTGAATTTTGGCGGAAGATTCTAGTTTGAAACTCAAGATTTGAGAGATTTTCTCAAGAGAAAAGTCTCAAGATATGAGACTTTTTGAGATTTGCTGTCCTTGTGAAAAATTTATTTCTATGTCTACTATCAACTCATTGGAGCGAACAAGTTTATCAAATGAAAAAAAAAATAAAACTGCTACTTGTTGAAAATTCAAGAAGGTTGTAGCATATTATTAAAATCACATTACCTGCCATTGCGACGTTGTAGCAAAATCGAATTAAAAGTTTTCTTGATGATTCCTTACGGAGTTATTTTAGCTTATATATGACAGTTTTGAACGTCTGCAAACTTAACATAAAGTTATATCCACTGAGCATGTATGAAATATATCCATTCGTTCCCTTGAATTATCTAGTTTATGAATTTTTACAGATGAAAAACCCCATATATTTAGTAATCCGTGAAACTTCCGCGCCAGGATTGAAGAAGAGTGGCATGAAGCATTATGTATTTTCCCCATAATAGGTCAAGAAATAAACGTAATTGTAATAGAAACGTTAAATAAATTAACACAGACAGCGAATTCGAATTATCTTCGACGTAAGGGTTAGTTCACTACATAAAAGTATAGCCGACATGTAATAAAAATGTAAACTCTTTCGTCCGTATAAATAAGCGTGCCTATTCTTTCTAGGCTTCTGCGCTGTTAACTCAAGACCAGCTTGACAAAAATAAAATGAAAATGTAATAAAATAGGAAACAAAACTAAAAAAACTTACTTTTGAAATGTTGAGTATGCTTCGAGGAAGCTTCTTTGAACGCTCAATATATTGTACTGCAGAGATTTATGCGTTCCCATCCAGAGCCTCTCTTTAGGCGTGCTAAATAATAGGCACATAGTGAAGAGTGTCTAAAACACTAAAGTGCTCCTATAGAATCCAGAATATTTCCATACTAAAAAAGACATCTTTTGATCTGAACTATCACGGGTCACTAAAGTAGGATAGGTAAGAGTATCTTACTTGAGTAGAATACTCTATACATATATCCTAAAGTTTACAGGCGACACGCTCGAGTAAACATGATCTGAAATTCATGTACTGTCCAGGTGCATTTTATTCCCATGAAACTTCAGTGTGCATTAAGAATGACATTCAACTTTACATTATAAACTCTTTGTTTTAATAAACTTCCAAGAAGTAGCTGTTCCCTGTGTTTCATTTTAAAAGGAAACGGGATAGTTTTGTCTTTATACGGGATAGTTTTTGAGCGTATAACAACAGAAATCAGAAAGGTTTGTAAAAAACTTTGGTGGAAATGGACTTGAGAAAGAACTATTGCAATAAAAATTCACGCGCATTGCTTTTATGTCAAATTCAAACAAATACACGACACAGCTTTCCATCGTCCGAAAGTAGAGCTTCTGTTGAAAAAACAGTTTTTTAGGTTTTCGACGGAATTTAAAGGGTGTTGATAAAGTGGTTTCTTCTGCTGACTGGTAGCTCGTCCTTTACTTCAAAGCTCGGTCAAACTAGAAATAAAATTTAGGGTTCAAGTTTTATGACCTGTTTTCAATTGAAGTAACAAACATTTTTATAAAGGTTGAAGTTGCGTCAGCTTTTGTACATGTACCAAACAAAATATATGCACGAGTTCGGCGGCATTCATTTATTGGGTTAGTGGATGTGTCTCGTTAATGGAACATTTTTCCTCCAATATTGAAATCCATAAAAAATCATTCAAGGTAGACAAATCAGTGTGTAATCCTGATTCTAAGCAGAATGGAAGTTAGTTTAAATTTTATTTTTCATACTAAACTGTCCGTTTAATAGTGGGGACAGTGCGATTTCGCCTGATGATACTTCAAGTTCATATTATTCCTTTGTTTACACGTGCAACATCAACTATAATTCAATTGTGTTTCCCTCTCACTCATTACGGACTTAATCTGCAACTTACTTAACTCAAACTCCGCTCTGTTTGTGTTAACACTTCCTTCAATGCGTCTCTACATTAACGCTACCGTTCCTGTTTAGATTACATTAACTCTGTCTAAATAGACGCAGTCTTCATTTTAGTTTTTAGACGAAATCTAAATTTCATAAAGTTATTCCAAAATTAATCTTGAAAATGATATAAAATTTTTTACATTTTAATATTATTTAGAACCCATACTGCACTATATCTTCATAGCAAACGTTCCTGTACACCATTTCTATGTATTTTCAACCACAGTCAAGTGCAACATACTAATCAGCATGACACAAACATGATAAAAATAATGGAATTTAACTGCCATCGTTAGCTTTAGGCCCCATGCCTTCGTATTTAACATCGCCTTCCATCCAAACTTTAATTAGAGTCACGCGCATCCGCGCTGCGCGCCGTCTAAATCTCTCGGTCACATCAATCAGGTCGCATATCAAATTTCCTGGTCGTCGGTCGCAAGTCACGTCAGTCTCGCCTGCGCTGAAGGATCGTGAATCAGTACGATTCATTCAAAGGTCAATTCACGGATATTCATCATCGATAATAACTGGATTTCTTTATCGTCCATATTATATGTGGCATTCTTACCAGAATTGACCAGTTCCCAGACCAAAATTAAAAATTATTTTTTGATCAGGTGTAAAGAGAATGTATTTTTAGTGAGAGTTCATGTGCCATTAATCTTAAAAGTAATCACATTTGAGGTTATTTTTAATAAATTTTTTAGCTGCATTTAGAAAATGCAAAGATTTGAAGGCATGAGGGAAGGAATGACAATTTTGTTTGAGGAATGTTGAAATAGATGGCACTAAATAATCTGAATCCTGGCATGAAATTTTTATTGTTTGGAACAAGTGAAGGCCAATGATTTATTATTTCGTTTGAAATTCCACGTAGAACTTTCGTCTCCAAAATCCACTATTTTAGTATATGTAGGTGCAGTGCCTACGAACTTACCTACATGTAAACCATTCAAAAATGTGATTGTTAATCGATTTTCTCGACTCTTTTATGAGTAAAATAATTATAGCCGTTATTTTGTGATATGCATGCATATCAAAAATTTCTAAAAAGGTATATTTTGAGAGACGAAAACAATTGTGTCTTGCAATATTGAACTGAGGGACGCTTGGCTTGGATGATATACTAAAATAGAAGTGATGTAATATACAGATATACTAAAATAGAGGTGATGTAATGTATGTAGCTACGCCACAAGTGATGCGAGGCTCTGAGCATCACAATTGCTAACTGAACTGTATTAGAAGTTTAAATATAGTGCACAGAAAAGCAAGATCTTGAAATACTCTTTAGCAATCGAATGGTGCAAAAAAAGATGAAATTGATACAATATTTTTTTATCATATTAATTTATAATTATTTTCCTGTCGTCACAGTAAATAGAAAATTTCAGGACTGAAAAAGTTAGGCAAACTGTAATTTTTATAATTTTTGAAGAAAATATTTATAGTTTTTAATTAATTTATATTTATTACTTCATATTATTATTATATATATCGTTTATATTGAAGCCGAGAGATGTAGGTACCAATATCTTTTTATGTGTCGATTTAATGATAAAAACGCAAAAAATTCGCTGGACCTCGACGCCATTAACAATCCTGCTATATTTTCTTATACTCTAAAAACCCTCTTAATAATCCGAAAATCGAAGAAAAATAACTTTTAGAACAAACATAGATCGGACATGTTATATAGTTAAATCTGTAGACGATATCCCGTAGATTTTAACATGCATTGTTGAAGAAGTCAGTGTAATTGATGCGGTATGCGTTAAAAGATTCTTAGAAAATGTCCTCTGATTAAGAGTATTAAGTAAACACTGTCATTCTCATAAATATATACGGAGTTATTTGCAGGAAATTGAGGTAAATAATTTAGCAATGATTGGTACTGCGCTTGAGAGAAGAAGTTAAAATTTACATGCAAACATACATTGTGGGCAGCTAAATAAATTCGCTAATCATGATGTAAAAATTATAATCAAATCTATCTAATTGAAAAGCTACGTAAGGAAAGCAATGTCCAGAAAATATATCACCGAGAAAATCAATTTATTTATGTTTAATTTTCCGAATAGTTTTGTAATGCTTTATTCTTCGTGGTCAAGTTATATTACGCATATAAAGAACTGAACGTAAAATTGACCTAGCCATGCAAATGATGGAGAAAATACAAATCGATGAAGAGGTCTGAACTAAATTTGATTGTATTTAGTTAGGTTAAATTATCATAATTTTGACATTTTCTGGGAGAGGAATCCAATGCAATTTAAAATAAATTTTCAGCTATAGATTTCCTATTCTCCGTCTCTTAGCCTTTTTTAATTTCATTTTGAGCTGTCGAAATTTTTTGGTGTCTATCACGGCTGACTGTTCAATTATCTTTAAAGGTCATAGTTGAAGTCAAGTATCTTTCCTGAGTATATGAAATTTCATCAAAATGACACTTATGTTGGTAGCTAAATCGTTGATAACATGTAGAGCTCCGTGCGATGCAGATGATAAGATGGCTTGTATGGTGTAGATGCCCTCAGTTGCGGCTCAGACGTCAATGTGGTCGTGTGTCGCTCGCGCTCCCAGCCGATCCACCTGTGACTCGTGTCCGCGAGAAGCGGCTCCTCGAACTGCTTGGTTATTTAAGAAATTTGGACATTTCCGTTATAAGCCAAAAAAATTACGAATGCAACGCGCTAAATATCACCGAAAAAAGTCTTGGTGGTTTCCAAAATTGGATCATTCATAGAAATAAAGAAGGAATACACGAGCTGACCTAAATATTTATTATACAAGGCAAGAAATAGAAAATAACATCTGTTTATAAGCAGAACAAAAAAATTATTGGAGGCAACGCGCCATTCATCACAGGGAAATACGCGGTAATTTATTACTTAATGCCAATAATTAAGTATTGCGTTAGAACACATGTGCGTCATTCGTATAAATACCTGAAATTCTTTCGAAAAATTCTCAATGCCAATTGATTCTTGTGAGGTTACAAGAAAAAGATTAAAATAATTGGTCTTAACACGACAAAATTTGTCCATGGAGCGAGTACAGCTGGAACGTTCAACTTGATGCCATCCATACTTCCATGAACAAAGTTATCGTTTAAGGTGAGTTAGCTCATACTTATTTTCGTTATTATTTACAAATTAAATTGTATTTTTATAAGTCGTAATTTATATTTTTAACATGAATTTCGAACAATAAAAGCAAGGCGATAGAGTAAAGCTTCAGCTGGAAGAGTTTGCAAATATTTTTCCGTGACAACGAACACATTATGGTAAACAAAATAGTAGTTGTTGATAAACATTTGCTACATTTTTCTGAAATAAAGAGAGAGTGTCTTATATTTAATAAGGTATCCAAGGGTTTCAAGATATCTACTTTGTTTAAAATTGCATTTGAAATAATAATGAATACGTTCAGGAATATCGAAAAATTTTGCAGTTTAAGAGTGAGAAAAAAGCAAATCAATGCCCTCAAATTAGATTTTAATCGAGAAAAAATATTTCCAAAATGAACTGTAAATCTTTTCAATGTCCTCACGGGGAAAATTAAAATCTGAAACTATTTTCTTGCTTCAGAACATGCTTTCCATTTTTTAAATTGCTTTCCATTTTTACAGCTAAATATGAATGTCGCCGTTAAGTTGAGTTTTACTAAGTGATCTGTTTCATTATGAAGTCCACATGACCGTTGATACAGTATTTTGAACTGAAATCATAATGTTTATGTGTTTACCAACCATCAAAAATGTGTCAAAATTGCTATTCGTGTATTAATTTGATGTAAGTCAAATTCCGAATTTTGATATTTCATGATGAAAATTCGATGGTGTTCGCATGTTAATATTCCTAATACTTACTTTATTTTGGTTAAAAAGATTTTTCATTGAAATTCTCCTTCGAAAAAATCCTTGAAAGGTCTTCACCAGTAACATGAACCTCTGTGTTTAATATTTAGATACCAAACTCAGTAGCAAAAATTGTCAGACATTTACGGTCAGCAGTAAGCTTTGGCTCTAGGTTTTATATTTCATTATCCCTTTCAGCGCGAGATGGAATAAAGATATTTTATAAGTTGTTGATACTCTATGGGATGCTCGTGACAATAACTGTGGAATTTTAAAGCGAATGTTAAAAATTTAATTATACAGTGTCAGTTTCAAAGCACAGGCTTCTTTTTTAAATCGAGTCTTTGCTTGGTGTTTTACTAATAACATCTTATGTCATTACCACATTTATCTGCTCTGTGTTTTAGTTGTTAAATACGCATTCTATCATAATCACATTTATCTGCTCATTGTTTTAGTTGGTAAATACATTCTGTCCGGTGTTGAAATCAAGTTGAAACGTGAAAATTATTTATTTATACTTAATTACTAAATTAATTTCTGAAACACGAAGTTACTTATCAGTAAAAAGTTTTTACATGGAAGGAATAACTATGACTTAGGTGTAGAGGGAGAGAGAGGCGTTAAACTACGTAGTGATCGAACTTTTTGATTACGTTTATATCATATAAATATTTAATACCGATATATATTTACTGAACATTTAATATTTAGGACATTTTAAATAATGAAATCTAGGAAAAATCTGCCGCTCGTATCAGTTTACAGGCCCCGACCAGAGCTTCCCGGGAGCTAGAGAAGGTCCTAAAATTTATGCAGAAGCCTTGAATATTCCCGACTCAGCTTCTTGGAAATAAAATGCGCCCGTAAGGTATCGGCGAGATTGTTTCTCGATAGTTTTCTGAAGAGCCATCCTAGGAATAATGGTCTCGGTGGTGGCAGGTGAGTGCTAGTGCGATGCAGAGAAGCTACATTAGGTGCGTTCAGTTGCTGGTAGTTGTTGCATGCTAGTAAAATGCAAATATAAAGTGACTGGGCGATGGTGCATTAGATTAGCTGTAAGCTTTGAATTTGTGATGCACTGTGTTGAGTTGTGATGAGCTGTTGCAAAGAGATGCAGACCTCCTGCTTTCTGACAGCTGCTTGCCCGTCGGCTGCAGATGGTAAATTTTTTTTAAATGACTGTAGGCATCGCAAGGGTCAGGAATGCATATACTACTGCATCCCTGACAAAAATTCCGTATAAATAAATAAGATTCAATCAAGTTTGACAGAGGTTTTTATATGTGTTGGTGCGATAATTTTAAATTGTAACTCAGCTGTCAGCGTTTCGTTGTTGATGGTAGAGAACATGATCGTTTTACAAATAAATTTTATTGCGTCTTATAAATTTCTCTGCTGCGTCCTATAATCTTAACTTAATTAAACTAAAAGGTTCCTGAAAATGCGGTGTTCTGCATCACATGTTGAAATTTATTATGGGGAAAATTAAGGGAAATCATAGCTAGAAGCACTCATATGCATAGAAAATCTGCGCTCATACCTTAAAGTTCACAAATGAGGGATATGGTTAGATTGATTCTAAAACATTCAAAATAGAAAAATATATTTTTTTGCGAAATAATTGTAACGCAGGAATTGAAATCATCGAAAATTCCTTCAATTAAGTGATTCATTTAAAAAATCCCGAATTTCTGACCTGAGTATAATAGTTAATTAATCCCGATTAAATTCCGAAATATCTCGAGTGACCGGAAATTTTCCACGACTCTCATTTAATGTTTCAACGAATGCCTAAGCAGTTCCTCTACGGTGTCCGAGCCTCCAGGTCTCAATATTTCATCCCAGTGATCGCGAAGTGCTCGGAAATGACTTGTTCAGAAGCCACCTTGCGATCCTTTTATGGAAATTGAAATACAAAACTGCATGTGGAGGTCCAAGTGAAGCGACGTAGTGAAGTTTCAGGAGAGGCTATTTCCCGTTGGAATATTGGGAGAATTTGGGAGGAAAATTAAGTTGGATGAATTATGTAAAGGAAGGGAGGATTCAGAGCAGCTATACGATGGCATTTATTGGCAAACTTTTTCAAGAATTGCTTCAAATGGATGTAAAGAACAATTTGTTATTTCGAATTGCAATTTCTTTAGGCCTTGAAATTGTAGATGAATGAATAATTTTTATTCGCCTAACTATTTTATCTCAACATTTACAGTTGAGATTACATCGAAAAATATTTGTATACCTCTATATGTATATAATAGAATGTTGAAGTTACGAGTATTAGAGATCACTAAGCTCACTGGCACTCTTTTAATTAATATTTTGTATTTAATATTTATCTGTTTCGCCATTTTTCGATTTTGAATTCTTTGTCACAAAGAAGTGCGGAATAAAACTTCCAAATAACGGAAATGCTTGAATTATGGAATATTTGTGCTATCAGATGAATAAAGATAATTAAAATACCAAAGGGATTCGATGATATGCAAATGTGAGCAAAACTCGCAAAAACAGGGCTAAAAATTCAATGACCACTACAAATAGTTCATCTAATTGAAATTACCCGCGCACAAGAAAGCTGTCGCAGAAATAAAACAAGCGTTGGGGGTAGCGGCAATCGCGAGGAAGCTGTCGGGAGCAGAAACATTTCAACCGCGAAAAAATTTGCTAAAAACAAAAGATGCTGGTCGTTCAAGAACGACCGAAGTGAAAGCTGCATTTATTTTACAGTTTCTTGTGAAATGAAAATAGTGGTATCAGAATTCTCAGTACAACTAAGATATGTCAGAGACACAAATTTAGCGACAGTTGGAGGTGGCTCTCGAAAACATTTCTATTCAGGCGTAACTGTGAAGCACTTAACAGTGTCGGTGGAAGTTACCAAATTAGAAAAGTTTTGTTGCAATGGCTGCAGGTTGACGACACACTCGAGTTGTTCAGCGCTAGAAGTGAAAGATGAATGATTTCGTTAGCGTTGTTAGGAAACAGAACTCATTATTCCAGCAGTGCCTGGGGAGATATGCCACTACATGTAGAATGATACGGAAGTTTAGGGTTACTTTTTTCCATACTCTCAGTAATTGACTATCCCATATTTCATTATTTTGGTGGGAATTAGCTCTTACGAATCGATATTGAGCTTACAGGTTACTTGACGCCCAGAAAAAATATTGACGTTTAATGTTCTGTGTTGGACGCAGAGCCAAATTTCAATGTGTGCGGTTGTATAGCTTTGAGTTCTGAAATACGGGCATGCGAGTTCAAATAATTTTTTCAGCAGCAATGAAAGTTCTTGAATGCTTTTTTAAAAACTGAGAACCTTGTTTCGGAGTTAAATACTACAATATAAGAATATAATTTTCCCTATAACATTCTATTGAATTCTCTTGACAAAGATGAAGGCGTTATGAACACGAAGAAATTCAGGATCAAAACAACTAAAAGTGCGTTGATGAACACTACTGTTAATAATACACTCTTTAAGGCATTCATATTGCAAGACTTTGATCTCTATTGGGAAAGAAGAAAAAAATATTTATTAACTTTGCATTGCAATTGCACTCTGTGCACTATTGTTGGGAACATGATGTTTTGAGTTAGGAATTAATAAGGAAGTAGTCAAACATTTCTTTGGTCAAAGTATTTCGGAGGATATATTTTTTTTTTTGTTATTAAGTATATTCATTAGTTTTGTTATTTTTTTATTAAGTAATAATTCATAGCAGCGTGAATTTTAAATCACAGTATTTTTTCCTTGTTGTGTAAATTTTGCTTTAGCTTTATCATATGACTACTGGATTTTACGTCCTTCAATGTGCTTTACATTATGAACTTATCTTACTAAGGGCAGTGAAAATTTCCATATATACTCAACTTCTTTCAAATATATAATTAATCGGTATTATTTTCAAAACGTGTCGATGAATAAATTGCTCAATTTCCTTTGAATTATTATAATTTAAATTCCTGAGAAAGTAGGACGGATTCAATTTTAAATATTCATGGGTTACAGTTCAACTGCACTCTCTCAATTTAAATAACGTCAATCATCAAGCTGGGGAAACATGCACCTGAAGTGAGCGAAAATAAGCCTTGTTGTCTAATATTCAGCTAGACAAAAAGGTGATATACAAAATACAGGCGATATTTTTAAATATTAATTTGCAAGGAACTTCTGACACAGTTGCCGCATCTCTGGACGTCCATAATGCACAGTATTTGAAAGTTTCTAATTGGACTGCTGGACAATACAGACTG